CTTTATTTTGTTCATTTAATTTATATTGTACAAGTGTTACCGATGAATGCACCGTCTGGTTGCAGAAATCCTTTTTAATGCTCACTTCTTATAACGTTACAGCTTCATATGCTTTCTTTTTAAAAAAATGATTAGACTATGCCTTTTTGCAAACTTTTTCTTGGTTTTGCTCTTGAATTTTCCTCTGCAAAGTGATGGACATAATCCTCTATTTTCTTCTTCTTCTTCTTCTTCTGTCGTTACAAATATCTCTTTCAGATTTGCCCTTTTGTTCAGGCACCTTGTATTTTGCAAGAAAATAGGGTCACCATAACTGTATCTTTGTTTTGTCGGAAAAGATTACTTTGTGGCCAAACTGTGGAATCACATCCAATAAACAACGGATAGGCAAAAAAATAATAAAACCAAGGACATGAACAGCCCTGCTAAAATCAAAACCTTCTCTAGCTTTCTAAACTTGAAAAAAAAAAACTGGTATTAATCGTGGGAGAGTTTTCACTCATTAAACACAGAGCTTTCTGAGATCATGTTTGGTTAGAAAAAAGTTGGGAGGACTTTGTCCTCAGGGGTAGGTCATTACACTCTCAATTGTTGTCCAAGAGAGCAGACTGTCCTCTGTAGACCTTTAGCTAGTTACCTTTAGCCTGCCTGGAGTCGAAATCTATTTTCTGCAGAGCTGAAATTACTGATTAACCCTGACTGACCAATCGCCAAACTCTCTTATTGAGTATAGGTCAGGTGTCGGCAACCTGTGGCTCTAGAGCCGCATGAGGCTCTTTGGGGCCCTCTGCTGTGGCTCCCTGTTGGGTGATCCTACCACTGGCTGGCCCCGGCCCTTGCCCTCCCCTCCCAGTCACTCCTCACCTGGCCTGAGAAACACAAAAACAGAAATGAGAGGGAGGGAGAGGGAGAGAGACCCATTTCCCCCAGAAAACACTGAGAGTCACAAAACCTGGGTAGGCGTGGTGCAGTGGTGGTATTCAGCCGGTTTGCACTGATTCAGGCAAACCGGTAGCAAGGATTTGGCATGGATCACTGAACCGGTAGTACTGCGTACCCCTCCCAGGCTCTGTTTTTGTCCTTCCTGGGCCCCAGGGAAGCCTTCTGGGAGCAAAAACGGCTCCCCCAGGAGGCTTGCCTGAGGCCCAGAAGGCCCAAAAAATGGGGGGAGGGGGGACTGCAAAAAAACCCCACGCCCACCCAGTCGCATGGCCACTCCCACCTAGCCATGCCCACGGAACCAGTAGTAAAAAAATTTGAATCCCACCACCGGCGTGGTAGGGTGGGTGGGTCATGTGACTGAGTGGGAGTGACGTTGAGTTGGTCACGCCCAGCCAGGTTTTGTGGCTCCCGGTGTTTTCTTTTTTGGCGGGAAAACGGGTCCCCAATGGCTCTTTTGAGTGTTTAAGGTTGCAGACTCCTGGAATAGGCCATCCTTAACTTACGACCTTAATTGAAGCAACCTTTCCGTGGCTGAGTGAGACATTTGTTCACTGGAGTTTTCTCCCGTTTCACAACCTCCTTTCTTGCCTCTGTTGTTAAGGGAATCACTGCAGTTGTTGATTACACGGTTTTGTTCAGTGAATCTGGCTCCCCCATTGACTTCGCTCGTCAGAAAGGCGCAAAAGGGGATTCGCGTGACCCTGGGCTATTGCAACCATCATAAATATGAGTCGGTTTCCAAGAACCTGAGTTTTTGCTCACGGGACAATGGAGGTGCTGCAATGTGTGAAAAACAGTCGTCAGTTTTTTCAGTGCCGTTGTAACTTGGAACGGTCGCTAAAGGACCCATTGTAAGTCAAGGACTAAGCTGTAGTAGGCTCTCCCTGATTGCTGAAAGGAGTTGGCACAGTTTCCTGCTGATTTGGAAGGAAAACATATCATACATAATGATAAGACATCACACATAATCTCTGTCTAAATCAGTGGTTGCCAACAAGTGGGCCAGGGACCACTGGTGGTCTGCGAGAAAATGTTGATGGTCCGCAGAGAAATGTCCCCCCCAAAGCAATTAATGCAGGCTGCGCAGGAGCACAAGCTGCGCCACCCATATGACCCGCGGGAACATAAGGCTTGCGTTGCTTGCCTTGCGAACAACACGAGGTAGTCGAGAGGGGGGAATGGGTGGAGGGGGGAACTTGCCCCACATGCCTGGCCTGGCTACCGGGCTGCTTCTTTCCACTTCTTTCTTCTCCTGCTTTTGGTTGCACACAAGGAAAGCAGCAAAAGTCTTTCTTTCTCTCCCCCAAACTCTGCCAGAAATGAGTCTTTGGGACCCTGCAAGTCCTCCTGCTCCACAATCCTGCACCGGCAAAGACTCATTTCTGGCGGAGTTTGGGGGAAGAGAAAGAAAGACTTCTGCGGCTTCTGCTGCTTTCCTTGCATGAAGGCAAAAGTCTCTCTCTCTCCCCCTGAGAACGGAGCTGGAGACGGTATCCTGTGATCCCAAATAAAGAACGATCAATCGGTAGGAAAACAGGGTGGAGGATTTTCCTACAGAATTTTGTTGGGATTTTCCCAGGGTCCCTGGTCCGCGGGATTTAAAATTATGAGTTCAGTGGTCCCTGAGGTCCAAAAGGTTGGCAACCCCTGGACTAGATGACCTCCAAGGTCCCTTCCAGCTCTATTCCGATTCAGTGATTCAATGGATCGAAAGGGGTTGAAATTCATGAAGTCGCCAAATGGCAATCCCAACTTCTAATTTTGCATGTGAATTATGCATGTTGCCCTCTTGTTGCTCTGCTTTCTTTGAGCAACATATTTGCTCGTAATCAGTCGAGTTCTTTTTAGGATCACGACCGGATCAGGCCAAACTGTCTGACAATTCCCCCAAGCCCCCCCCCCGTCCATCCAACCGACATTCCTCACTTGAGTTCAGACCACGCTTTGTTCATCTTTGTTAATATTTGCTGAAGACCTGGTTTGTCAACTTGAACATGGAAAGGATGAATGGGGCAGACATTATGCGAATGGCAAATATTGACTTTGGTTTGTAGGAAAGTGAACTTTGTCCCGCGAAGGAGAAAGGAACATTCCCTGAAAATGGAAAAAGAAGCATCTCCGGAAGATCTAACATCTGCCCAAGAGACCATCATCAAAGAAGAGGTAATGTGGGGTTTAATGTGGGGTCATTTTACTGCCAGGGACCAATGTGAGGTTCAAGAAACACCAAAGTTGTTTTTAATTTCTTTGGAGAGTTTTGTTTTGCTTTTTTGAAAATGTGCTACAGGTAGTTCTTGACTTACAAGTCCAATTGAGCCCAACATTTCTGTGAAATATTTGTTAAGGGGGGTTTGGCTCATTTTACCACCTTTTTTGGCCAGTTGTTAAGTGAATCACTGCAGATATTAAGTTAGTCACCCTTAAGTGAATCTGGCTTCCCCTTGGAACTTTGCTGGTCAGAAGGTTGCAAAATGGGTCATTGCAACCGTCATAAATAGGAACAAGTTACCAAGCCTCTGAATTTAGATCATGGTTGTTAAGTGTGTGAAAAACAGTCCTAGGTTTTCTAGGGCCGTTGTAAGTTCGAACAGTCACTAAACGAACCATTGTAA